CAGCACCAGTGTCTCCTGCCCCCACTGAGCTTATGGAGATCACCTATGACTTGAAGCCCAGCCAAAAGTGCAAGTCCCTGAGCAAGAAAGAGAGTGAGAGTACGCCCACCACTTATTCCAGAATAACTTTGCTCCCAGTTTGGCAACAGCAACAACACTAACCACAACATTTTTCAGTGGCAGTGCAACACAGCCAGGAGTACTTCAGTGAGATCTTCACCAGGAACTGCATCATTCATGTTTGCAACATGGACCCCTTGTGGGCTCAGTGTCCATCAAAGGAGGGAAATGTCAAGACTCTTGCTCCATGATCTGGAACAGAAGGACATCAACCACCTCATGAAGAGCATCAAGTCCAACCCTCACTCCACTGGAGAGCTCTGGATTTAAGTAGCTGTGATCTGTGACTCAGGTTTGCCCCACTCTCTGACTTGACTCCCTCAACCCCAGCACTCACCACATCAACACCATCCACAGAAACCCACAAGAGAATCCTCAGGGTGGACATGACTCTGTGTGGTAAGATGCAAGGGTTTCAAAACAAGAAGATCCCTATCTACATCCTTGGCAGAAACCACAGGTGGCAGGCCTACAGCTTGCTGAGGGCCAAGTACTCAAACCAGCAAGACAAGATCAAGGAGCTCAGCCTCAGCTCTGTGCTGGCTGCAGTCTACTGGTGGTCAGATCTGTTGGAGCAGTCCATCAATGAGATGAGAGCACTGGCAATGTGCCACAATGTTGAGGGCGAGTGCCATGTTTCCATGACGTTCTGGGACAAGGTATTGCTTCCTGTTCCTTTGCTTGTTTCATTTGTTAGTACTTTAAATTGACCCACTTTTCCATGGACAGATGAAGTTCATTCATGATGAACTGACACACAAGCCCAAAGCCATTGTCAGTGAGACGCAGGACAGCAACTTATGGACAGTTCTGGTCTACAAGTGGATGCAAGCCCTCAAGGAGGATGTGATGAGCATCCAGAGCCTTGACCCCCTCTACCAGCTTGCACAGGTTTGACAGGATGTCTGGGACCTTGTGCTTGAACTTGGCCAGCCAGCCAAGCCAGTTGAGGGGAGGTTGCAGAAGCTCAAGCCCCTCACCTCCATCACCACCTTCTGTTTGCTTGCCAGCCTCACCAACAACCAGAAGCTGCAACTCCTCTCAGCACTCTACAAGGGCGACCTGGACATTGGGAAGGTCGAAGCTAGGGCATGCAAGCTCAAGGTCTGCAAGCAAGTCAAAGCAGCCTTTGTGGCTGACGCCAACATGTTGGTCACCAAGCTCACCACTCTCCTGGGCAAGGACATCTGCAAGAAGGAGGTTGACTGCTGGCTGAACGCCTTTTCCCAAA